CAGCTTACGACTTCGGGTCTTAGACCAAGTATCCCCTGCAGATGCCCAGTTCGTTTATGTCCTTTTAAAATAAAGGCCGTTCAAGAAATGCGATGGACGTTCAAGAAATGCAATGGACGGGACAAGGACGGAAGAAGGTGGGTCCGTGTGAAATTTACTCCAGCGGCCATATAAATGAGAGCAAATTTGGTGTCGGATTCGTGGTGGATGAGAGGCTCCGTCGCCGAGTACTGAAAAAGCTAAATTCTTTAACATATAAAATAAATTAACATCAAATTGAATAGTAAATAAAGCCAAATGAAATAAAAATTAAACATAATGAATAACAAAAAAATATTTTTTTGGGCGAAAAAATATTTCGATATATTTGGTTTGAGGTGCAAAGTTTCAGATCCTGTTTTGAACTCAGAATCTTTCAAAAAAAAAAAAAATATATTAAAAACCTTATAATAGTTTCAGTTACGCAACCGATTCAGTATAATATTGAATTCTCTATAATTCCTATATGTTAATATTTTATTTCGTAACAACAGTTATGTTTATACAATATTATAATTTGTTCATATTTTTTGCCTACATTTAGGCGCAGTAAATTTAATAACACTTGTTTAATTAAAATATTAAGTGCACACACTTTGAATTAAATATAAAAATAAATAAAAATACAGTTAGCTTTATTGCACCTGTTGCATAATTCATTGAATTTGCAGCTTATAAAAGAAGTAAAAAAAAATGAAAAGCTTTTACATTTTACCGCTTTTGCTGCTGTTTAAAGATTTATTGCCATCGCTTTTTATTAGCTGTTGCAATGAATTTCAATCAAATCGAGACAAAAAAAAACGAATTGTTTATTGAACAATAAAAAAAGCAATAAATAATTAAAAAAATATGAAAATACATTTTATTTTTCAATATTGAACTGCTTTTGTTTTTAATTTTTTTTTGCACAACTTGTCATTATTCATGCAGCTGCTGCTTGCTACTTGCTGCTTTGTTCGCTGACCAACCCATTCTTGTACTCTTCAATTTTATGGCTCGTTTGTGTGTGTGTGTGTGTGTTGGTTAGCAGTGGTTAAATGTCAACAATATCCGACATATATGTTTTTTTTTTTGCTTCTTTAATGAACCCACACACATACATACCAGTGTATTTACATTTATACAGCGCTTTTGCGCCTAAAAGCATGCCTTGTATTGCACATATGTGTGTGTGTGTTTTCTTTTATACTTTCCGTTGCAATTCGAATTTAATGGGCTGTTGCGCTGTGTTGCGCTGTAATATAGTTAAATGTGTATGTATATGTGTGCTTTGTGCATGTGCACAGCATTTATTTTCTGAAAATGGTATCCTCATGTGGCTGTACTTATTTTTTCCTTTATCTGCTTTTGTTCGCCGCCTTACAAAGCGACTGAATGTCGCGCTTTTCATCACTAATGGTGCATGAATTTAACACTTATGCATGCAGCAGCTGAATTTTAAATGTTGCAAGAGGCTGACTTTGTTGTATACGTTTTGAGGCGACGATTATTTTTATATATTTATTTTGCAGAAAATACTTTCTTTCTTTCAAAAAAAAATTTTACCCAAAACGGAACTGAATACCATAAATTGGAGCAAAAAATGCGAAATTAAATTAAAATATTTACACAAAAAATTTATTAATTATATATTAAAAAAAATTTAAAAGATACTAAAGTATTTACACAAAAAAAAATTTAAATTACTTTTAAGCATATTTTATTTTGAGAAAATCTTTATTTACTCACTCAATAGCACTTGATACGTCTTAACACATTCAACTGTTAACAGGTTCCTCGCTTCTTCTATTTTTTATATTATTTAAATTTTTTTTGCCTTTTTGACAGCTACCAACTGTACACTCATTCATTACCTTGTGTTAGTGTTTTTTTCTGTATGGCATTCACATATTCATTCTAAGTGTTGTTGTTAGTAAAAGAAAATTGTTTAAAAGCAAAGAATGAAATAAAAATGCTATTACAACAAATACTTATTGCACTTTTCTTGGTTCACTTCTGTGAAAGGAATGAAAAATCTTCACTACATTCATATTTATTTTTTCATACACATATAATATGTATGTAGTCTAAAGTAAAAGTACTGATAGAATACAACCATTTTTGAACTAGTTACATTGGGTCTAGTTTTGTAACTAGTCGTCCTTCACATGATTTTTGCAATATTATCAAGTAATAAATGTAAAAAAAAAATCAATTTTGTTAAAAATCTTGTAAAAATAGTCCATAATTAAATTATGCACAATTCATGTCAAATATTTTTAGAAGCCCAAAATAAAAATAAAATGTTATTTAGTTTTTTTGTAAATATGTAGCCACTCATTCGTCTACAAAGTTATTTCTATACCATACAAGCTTCTGCATGCAGAGCTCACCCCTCCTTAGCAAAATGTGCGTGTGAAAATAATTTTTATTGAATTGAGCAACCATTTACGGTATACTCGTACCAAGCCGAGAACAAGTGTTTTCTATCAATGGCAAAGACAGACAGACATAGCGACAGACAGACACTCAGGACGAAAGCGTTCGCAGTGAAAATGTGTGTGCGTGTGTTTGAAAGCTGAAAAATGATGCAGTTTGTATTGCATGAGGTAAATGCTTGATGTGTTTGTGGAAGAGCAGTACCATATAATACATACATATATGCATTTTTTCTCTTCTTTAACATTTTTTTCTATAACATCTACTGTGTCCCACATTTCATATTTTTTCGCTGTTGCTCTTATTTTTCAGTACTCTTCTCCCCGTTGTATGTGGCATGCCACAAACGTGTATACGCACTTGTCATGCTTTGACAGCTGCCGTATTGATGTTTTTATGTGTTATGTGTGTTATATTCTTGTTTGCTTGCTATATTTTTCATTATTACATTTATGCTGTTTTCTGCTTCTGTTTGGCAGCATTGAAGGTATTAAGTTCTTATGTTGCAAACGGCGCATTAAAGTCCTTTCTTTGTGTGTGTACTTATGTTTTCACTTATTTTTTATCGATTATCAATTAAAGTAAAGCCTGGTCTAAGAAATCTTTTACTTCATTTATGCTTTGCCTATCTTTAGCCGGAATAGAAGTGATGTGGGAATATAACACACGTATTTACTTACATAAGTAATCCAATAAAGAGGTCTTCTTACAGCAGCGTGTAGGGCTTCTGGATGAATTCTCCTCATAAACATTGTAATCACCTTTGATTGACAGTTTTCTGGTAGCTTAGTATGCTTGCTTGTGCAGTTCGTGTTTTATTTTTGTTTGAGGTTGGCTAGGTAGACTTAAAGGAATTATTCTTTTCGGTTGTCTAAAAAATATTAAAGGTCTTTGATTATAAATATTATTTTTTTGACTGCGTTTTATTTTATTTCAATTAATTTTTTTTATACCTATTAATTTTAATTTATTTGATATAAAATGTTATTGCTTTTTTATTTTGTTTTATTCAATTTCAACTTATATTGTACTTTCTAATTTATTTGCTTTATTTAAATTGATTATGCTTCATTTTTCTCTATTTTATTTCTATAAATTTTCTTTATAATTTTATTGTTTTTTTTAATGGTTAAATATTGTTTTTTTTAGTATTTTTATTTTACCTTATTTTATTTATATTAATTCTTTTGTTTCATTTTTCAATTATTTCATATAATTTCATTCTTTTTTAACTTAATTTTTTTAAATATATTTTTTTCTTACTTTGATTAATTTTATTTCCTTTAACTATTCTCACTCAATTTTATTCTTTTATTTTGCTTTATTTAAACTTATTTTATTTTATTTCATCTTATATTTTTATATGATTTTTTTATTTTAACTTATTTTATTTGAATAAAACTTTTTAATAACATCATTTTATTTAATTTATTTTGTTTTATATAATTTTCTTTTATTTTATTTTGTTTCAATTTATTCTATTTTATTTATTTTATTTTATTTTATTTTATTTTATTTTATTTTATTTTATTTTGTTTAATTTTATTTTATTTGGATTCAATTGCTTTTATTTATTTTTTTCGTAATTCATTTTCTTTTATTTATTTTGTTTCATTTCCCTTTATTTAACTTTATTTGATTGTATTCTATTTTATTTTATTTTTATTTGTTTGATTTTTAATTTAATATAATTTTATTTCATTTGGTTTTATTTTATCTTGTTTTATTTTATTTATTTATTTATTTTGTTTTGTTGTATTTTATTTTTGCTGCTTTTATTTATCTTTATTTAATTTAATTTTATTGATTAAATTTTATTTTTTATATAATATTATGTTTTATTTTATTTTATTATTTTGGTATTTTACTTTATATTAATATTCCATTATTCTTTTAATTTACTTTTTATTTTAATACACATTAAATTAATTTACTATTTCAAATTATTATCACTTCTTTTAATTTAAATTAATGTCATTTTATTTTATTTGATTTACTGTTTTTTATTTAATCTCAGTTAATTTAATTTTGTTATGTCTAATCTTATTTTATTTTATTTTGTTTAAATCATTTGAATTTATTTACTTTTATTTTTCCGTTTTTTGTAATAAGTTTTGTTATATATAAATTTTTTTTAATTTAATTTAATGTTGTCATTTTATTTTATCAAATTTTATCTTTATTTATTTATACTTATTTTATATTATTTTATTTTATTTTGTTTTAATTAATTTAAGCACAATTCTTGTTTTTACTCTATATAATTTAATTTAACTTTCAATATTTTCTTGATTTTAATTTAATTTATTTTATAAATACTGATTTTGTGTCCATTAGTTTTATTTAATTTAATTTCATTTATCTTTTTATTATTTCATTTCGTTTTATTAATTTAATTTTTTTTTTTATTTTATATTTTTATTTTTACCTTATTTTATTTCACTTCGTTTAATTAAATTTTACTACACAATATGTATTCTTCATAACCTCATAGTCATGCATTAACTAACTTTTTCTCCCCTCTTCTCTCCACTCCCTTCCAGATAAGGACATACGCAATCACTTGAACGGCGACATGTACACCGATGGCCATCTTGTCGTTTGCGATCGCTTAATGGACGCCCATGGCCAACATATGGCAACAGCTGCCGCTGCCGCCTATTATCAACAGCAAATGGAATCACCACCTTGCTACACCATCGCCACTGGCCTGCCAACGTACGATGAGGCATTGCATCATCATCAACAGCATTTCTCCTACGGCATGAAATTCATGTATCCTTCGATTACGGCTGTGCATCATCATCCGGCAATTGCTGGTGTTTATAGCAGCAACACCCACAGCAACGGCGTATTAACAAACACGGTGAAGCAGCAATGTGACGAGCAACAACAACAAGTGCAAGTGCTAGAACAACAGCTAATGAAGCAGAAATCACACAAAGTGTCGCCGAACACAGCGCGGTCGTCGTCGGCGGAGTTGGTCATGCCCGCCACCTACGATATTGCAGATTTACATGGACTCAATTTGCCATTGACAGCAATGAGTGTTACAGCACCGCTGTTGGGTGTTCAAGCGAGCACAGAGAAATTATCAGCCACACTGGACGAAGTGCTTACCATTCGCTTGGATGAGATGACACCAACGGCTACGCTGCCTACGGTCACGACGGCCACAACAACAACGCGTCGTCCAACCATGTTCTATAATGAGTTGGCGCGCGACTGCGGTGCTGGCGAGGAGCAGCTGTGTAGCGCAGTGACGATAGCGTGATCGCATTAAACACGCGCCAATGCCGGAGCACGAAGTCGCTGGTCCGTATGGAGAGGGGCCGCTGTGTGCTAGCCTTGTAAATATCTGTATATAACTGTGTAAATAAACTGCCGCTGGCCGAAGTATGATAAATAAGCCAACCACTGCTGCTGCTGCTGCTGCTACTTGTATAGGCTCACAAGCGAACACAGAGAGACTAATTAACGTAATGACATTTCAAATGAGTCTGTAAAACGCAATGTCTATACTTCTTTAGTTAATTCAAATGGAGAGTTAGATTAATTTCATATTTTTTTCTTAAAACTGGTTCTATCTCGGCTTGCTTTAATTTGAAAGAAATGTTTAAAACTACATTTTTTTGTATCCAAAAATGTCATAATTTCTTTAATAAAAATAAATTATTTATTTTTTCATTTAAGTTATTAATTAATTTGTTTAAAAAGACTGATTGTTCATTATAGTTGCGTATAAACATTTTTATATGTAATTTGCATGTAAATTATCAACATACACGTACACAGGTAGTTATGTAGGTATGTATTACATATTTCTGAATACATATTTAGTTAGCAAGCAAATGCAAGTAGTAAAATGTATTTATCAACAAAATTTGTAAAAATAGTTAAGTATTTCGATAGTTAAATAAGTAAATTAAATGAAAATGAAAAGTATTAAATTTCAAAAAATTACACAAAATTGAAAAGTTTGCGTTTTTTATTTGATTTCATTTTGTTTTTTGCTTGTATTTTGAATTATTTTTCAGTTGGTATATTTGCATACAAATACACACCACCTATACATACATATTATCAACATACACTCACACCACGCACTTGCTTACACCGAATATTTGCAGAAACACAGCTTACACAATTTCGAAGACACGTCTGAGCTTTTTATGCTTTTGCAATGGGTGAAAGCTCAAAACGAGGCCACCACACTGGAGTTGCACGAATATTTAACGGAAATATGGGTATATCAACGCTTCGAATGGGGGTTTTTGTGCAATCAAATCTCATACTAATTGGTTGAAGAGATGAGAGACAGAACTTGAACATTACTATTGGGTACGAAAATTATATGGAAATCACTTTATTGGCCGCCCAAATGTTGACGATTTGAAACATTATTCCTTACAGATTTTAAAATTGTTTATAATTTCATATACATACATGTGTATATGTGTATTTTTGCAATTGTTTGTATTTATAAATATTAAAATTAAATTTTACAAAATTATCACACAAAAAAAATTTCATTTATTGATTAGATTCCTGAATTAAAAAATTTTTATTTTAATTTAATATTATTTGAAGCACCGAAATAACTGCAGTTAGGTTTAATTTTTGGTAAATTCTTTCTCTAATCGGATCAGTGTTGTAATCAGGGAAGGTATTTTCTATAAAACTGCTACATAAAGCATAGTTGGGAGGAAAAGCGACTCCAGAGGAGTGGCATCGCAGTTTACTGCACTTTACTGAAGATAAAATGAACATTCAGACTGCCAAACCAGTGAAGTGTCTTTCAAGCCCAAATATATCTGAAAATAAAATTTTGGGAGAGCTTTTGAAGGGAACTGAACTTCTTAGAAAGAATTATTTACTATCATACAACGTAAGGTCGGTAGTCGTTGCACTATGTTAGAATCAAAAAGAAAGAAAACTCTATCTCTCTGAGCTACGAAGGCCTAAAGCCATCGAGGGCAATGAAAGCTGATTAATCGGCTCAAAATTAATTACTGTTAGAACAACTCACAATTATGGGCTTCCCAGCCCCTCACATAGAGGTGAAAAAGGCATAAGAAACTCTGTTGTTTCATTAAGTCAGAAGGCTTTGTTAATGAACCAAAGCATGCCGAATGGCGAGATTATGTGTGAAATATATGACGCGAAGCTTACTAAGCACTAACTAAAGACAAACAGGGTGGACTCCAGGACTGCTGGTAGGAGTGTTGTCTGCTAGCGTCTGATATCTTTAATTTAAGTCTGGTTGAAAATTGTCAATGCAGAGAATGTGCATGATATCTGAGTGTTCGGCGCCAGGCAGATATGTTGAGGTTTTTTTTAATTAGCAATGGATTAAGGGTGACCAAAACACCTGCTTTAACTCGCTAAGAGAAGAAAAAGCAATGTTTTGTCTAACTGGGGGAAGTGTTGCAGTACGGAGCTTTTCATTCTTTGCATTGTTTCTGGTAACACTAAGCACCGCATATCGTCTATGGAAGATTACCGAAGCAGTCAATAAGTTAAATCTAACGCAACCAATTATTTCATGCTCTCAAAGTGTTTCTCAGGTTGGCATAATTTGAGCACCTTCCGTTGAAACGCGTTCTAGAAGAGAATATCGGTTTTTTTTCTCGCTATTTTATAGTCATTATAGGGCACCCAGTTGTGTTATGTGTTCTAAGAGAGTATCAATAACTCAAGAGATAACAGCGAGAAGCGAATTCCAACGTTCAAACAATTCTAGTTAAACCTTTTGTTGCTGTTTCTTTTTAGAAAAAAAAGTCAGTCTCACAAATACTATGAGCAATAGTGAAGCAGATCAAAACAGAAGAATTGACATTTTCTTGACTATTAACTAATGAATGAGTTGTATAATTATATATATAATTAGCGCTTTGTAACCAATGAAGCGATTTTCAGCCGAGCTCATCCTCGAATCGCGGCCGATGAATACATTCTTGAGCTTAAAGCTCTCGATGATTTGATGGGATAGCTTTTGAAAAATTTAAAAAATCAAGCATCTAGTGGCATTGTGTTTAAATAATTTTCCAAATCAGCATTTCATCCAGGATTTTTCTTATTTTTTATTTTTTATTTTTTATTTTTTTTTTTTTTTTTTTTGCTTGTAATTAGTCACCACTTTTGGAAGACTCTTCCGCAGAAATTTCATACCGAAGCTATCTTTTTGATGCAATGTATATTGAAATTGTGGGGAATAATAAAATGGAGAGTCTCTTCAACAGCTCTAATATAAAAAATGACGTTAAATTCTCTTTATAAAATTTTTAATAATAAGAAAAACACAACAAAAAAATGCAAAGAAAAATTATAAAATTTTTTTCATCTAGATAAAATTTCAAACAATTCTCACCAATATTTAACATCGAACACACACGAATCACTTAAAATGGCACACTTCACACACATACTAAAACCATAAAAAAGCACTTAGAACTTACAACACCAACAATCTTCTAAGAAATTTCCAATTAAACCTAAGCAAACTATAATCACTTAAAACAATTCTTAGACTTAAATGAAAGAGCTCAGTAAGGGTTTCAAATCTGATTTTATGCCAGGCGATTGGCAGTTGAGCACGTGTGCAGAACAAGATATCGGTTTCAAAGCGAAAAAAATAATAATTAAAAAAATCTCTACTGCACAACTAAAATTTGTTAAACAAACTTTATGAATTAGTCATAAAAATCTTAAGAATAAAATTTTTCGTAAAAAGTCATACTTTACAGTCAATGAAGAGGAGCTAAACTACGAAAATAATTTGGAGTATTGGAAAGGAGTTTTTTGTTTTTATATTTTTAATTTTTCATTAAAATTGGACTGTTGCCCCTAGATTAAGGTAATATATATATTTTTATTTTATAAATGTAAAAGAATGTAAATAATACAAGTTAAGGGGCACACCTTATGTAATGGCCTAAAAAAATGTGATTTTTGGGAATTTTTATTAAAAAATAATACAATACTTTATCAATTATTTAAAAATTTCAAGAATATATTTATATATATTTCAAGAATATACAGTGAAAGTTTTGATGAAAAAAATTAAATACTTTTTAAGTTATAGTCGAACTCCAACGGCGCGAAAAAAAGTTCCTTCACTGCTGCAGTGATTCCGGCCTTCTCCGTGGATGAAATCTAAAAAAAATTCTCTACTAGATAGTATTGTCTGTACTTTGACCTACGATAAAAAAAATCAAAAATTGACAATATGGCGGCGTATAAAAAAAAATAGTCGAGTTTTACCCAAAATTTTGGTGGTTTTTGGCCTGCCAAAATTCAATTTTTTGATCGGATCAAAAATCGATAGGTCATTGTACGGAGAACTATTTATAGAACATGTAAAAAAAAATCGATAGGGATCGGTTCATTTGTTTTTGAGTAATCACTGCCGCAAATTCGGAAAATGCTGTTTCGGGAAAAACGTTTCACTCGTATCTAATGAGACTCTCTAGCTGCCGAGCGGCTTAAATTGCTCTAACTCAAAAACTATTTGAGATATCGATTTGAAATTTTAATATGTTATTTTCGAAGGTTTAATCTACCGATATATGAAAAAAAGTTTTTTGAAATTTCACATCAGGTGTTCCCCTTAAGCACACATTTCAGCACTATTGAATAACTGCACCGCCGGAGAAACAACATCGTTATATTTGTCCATATATAACTGCAAAAAAAAAACCAAAATTTTTTAATAAATAATATCTGTTATACAAATGCGACTGATATGTAATAAATGATTTAAATAGTTAATTAATATTAATTTTTAATCCACAAAGATTAATGGAATTGTCAAAAATTAAATTAAAAAAACCATTTTTTAAAAACCCAGTAAAAATAAAATCAGCATAAATTTTTGGGTCCTTTTTTACACAACACAAAAAACTGAATTCGCTTTAACTGTTAGTTATGTATCTATAGATTTATAAAAAAAAATGGTTATCCCTATAAAAATAAATAAATAAACTATGAAAGATTAATGGAAATCAAAAAAACTTGTTTGTCTTAACTAAGATTTTTTGCAACCAATTCAATGGGCTATGGAATAACTATAAGGTGACCCCTAGTGTACTTTTCAGACATTTAATTTTCAAGAAGATTAAGTAATAAATATTTTAAAGTTATCGTCAAGAACTAAGCTTAATTATATTGTATGTATATGCAAGAGTTTCCAATATATCAGAAAAATGGTTTCGGGCAAGTGACCGTCCCGGCTGACTCGAATAAATTCCAATTCTCGACCACTTCTTGCAGCAATATTGGACGTACATACATATGTTAGCAATAATGCGCTGAATGTCAACTCCAAAGAGGTCAATCGTATCGGGCATAACTGCGCAAGCTGCGACTTCACATAACCCCACAAGAAATAGTCCAACAGTGTTAAGGCGCGCGATCTTAGAGTTTATGCCATAGGCTCACGACGCTAGATAATGCACTCACCAAGAGTTTCCTTCAATAAATTGATTGTTTCGTTGATTGTAAGACATGAAGTCATATGAACATTCTCTAGTTCAGGCAAGAGAAGTCATTTATAATGGCTTTATAGCGTTCCCAGTTGATTATAATATACGGGTTGGGGTATGGAATGAACACGTAAAAATCGAAGTCAATCCAAAAGAGCAGATAAAATTATCATAATTTGTCAGAATTTTGTAGAGACAAATGTACGCATCAAAATAACGTAAAAAAGTCGAAATTGGAGTAGAAAATTATTTACTTCATAAATTGGTCTTCTGAGAAAGAGGGAGCAATGTACTACTACGAAGTCCTAGAAACTGTCTTTAATCTTCTCCCCATATACTGGGTATGGTGAACACAAACCGTATTACAGTGCCATAAGCGTAAGCACTTAATCTAGAGAAAACGCCGTACAAAGCATATCCAAATACTGAATACCAGGCGATTTTTTGAA